AAACTCTAACCACTACATGGCCCATAAAATCTCATTTTTAATCTGTTTTGGAAATATACCCACAGCCTAACAGACAAACGGTCATTAAACCAGAGCACACAATAACAGGGTGGGTGGGAGGGGCAGATAAGTGCCCGAACGCCGATAAACTGCAGACAATGTGGACGGCCTTGACAACCACCAACAAAAGCACCAGAGACTCAAGATCATACCCATCGTTAAAAATACTATAGGTTTATACACAAGTCAGAAAACATCAAAGAATTACAAATACAGTAAAGAGAACATAGGACGGACATACAGGTTCCCTTTACTCTGCATTCGTGTGTCCAGCCACACCCATCTTCAAACTCAAACCTTTATCTGGCTTTGAATTATTGTACACACCTGAGACCAGAGGCATTTCACACAAGAACCCTGGACAACATCTGGAAAAACAGGTCTGTGCTTTTGTAGGAGGCTAACTTGAGTTATATTGCACAGTTACACACTACTAGACACTATTGCATTGACAAAAATCTGTCTCCAGACATGCAAACAAAACAAGAAAAAAACCCCACAAAGTAATGCTATTGTGGTTACTGGGTGGAGATTTTGCATCACTGAGCTTGTGGTTAGATGGCAACAATCTATATGTCATAAATTACACACAATCAATCTTCCACAGTGCCGTTACTTCACTGGATGGTTATAAAGATCATTTTGCTTAATTCAAGTATCAAAATATAATGATTTTACTAGTAAACTCACTTCATACTTAAAATGACAACTTCGTGCATGATGATATTGCTTGTGGCGATCCTTCATTGTGACAAGATTAGTATTCCTAATAAAGATTTTCTAAAGAATCTGTCACTTAATCCTAATGCCATTTTCAAAAGACAACTCCTCAGGGGCAAAATGCAAGCCAATAAAATACACGAATTACAACATGTGAGAGTCTGTTGACAGAGTGCACGTGGATCTCCAGGAAATTCGCGGTTCACTTGTGTTTGTGTGCTTTCTAAATTTTGCCTGATGTCCAGTGTGCACTAAGCCAATTACACAAGAGCCACGAGCAAGGCCATTTTACCATCACCTTTTCATTAAATTATAGAGGAACGAGTAATAGAAGTATGGCCTTTAACCATGTTCCATAAACTTATATGAGAGGTTTTAATTTATCAGTGAGTGTTCGGACTTATGTCTGTAGTAGTTAATTATCACAGAAGCAACTAGTTTCTTCTATAGGACGGCTGGGCTATGTAAAATAAAAGAGTGCAGTCCTTGTCTCCTGAGATACCAGGATCTCCAGAGATCCAGAAGGAGCTCAGAGGAGAGCCACCTTTCCTTTGTGTCAAAGGCAGCCTGCTGAGGTGGCTGGAGCATCTAATCAGAATGTCTTATGGGCACCTTCCACTGTGGAGATTTTCCAGGCACACAGCTGACAGGAGACCTCAGTGTAGATCTAGAACTCACTAGAGAGATTATTAATCTCATCCGACCTGCGAGTACCTCAGAAACCTCCCGCGGGAAACTGGAAAAAGCTACTAGGGAAACAAATGTCTGCTTAACCTGCTGCCATCGCAACGTGGATAAGCGGAAGAAAATGTTGGGATGAGGATGAATATCATGTATAAATAAAAGTTAATGTTTCCTTTTATGTCTGCTGTTGCCATTTCCAGTATGTCATTAAAATTTGATGTCATCTAATAAGGTCACTTCATAGTCCATCTGAAATGTCACGTCATGTTGACAGAAAAGGCTAGTGGGAATAACACACACACTCATTTCCTGTGTGTGTGTGAGTGTGTAACAGACACTGGTATCTATTCAAAACAGTCTTGACTATGACTTAATAGCCAAACTCTAAAATCAAAATGTAAATTCAGTGGTTTTGATTACGTGGAGCAAAACCCTGTGAAAAATCTGCGTGTGCGCTTCGAAGCTGCAGGATGCCATCGCTGTGGTAACTGATGCCGAGCTGCAGTGAGAGGAACTCGAGTTGCAGGCAGGGAGCCGGGTCACAGGAGAAGCAGGGGGTGCACAGGAAATTAAGCCTGCACATACTATAACCACGTTAAAGCCGTCCACCACAGCCTGAACATAGGCTCCTCAGTCACAGCGTGAAGGCTGACATGGTAAAGGTAATATTCTGAGGTATGTTCAGACTGTGCAGTGTTTTTGCAGTATTTGCAAGAATGTCGACATAGCAAATATTAAATCATCCCTTACTGTTAAAAACTGTTTTAAAGAACGTTTGAGGTTTTTGTTTTTAATAACTGTCCAGCTTTCATACCAATAGTCATATAAAAACAAACAGATATCACGATTCAATATGTGTTAGCGGAAATAGATAACATCAACTCGCATAACAGCAGCTCTCAGACCACAGATTATCATCTCCTGTAAATAACATTACTTGTGCTGCCTGTCTTGAATTAGCTGAAACCATAACAGAACAGCTAGGTATGCATTTCAGCTGTTTCCGTGAATCCCACTGTGAACCCCCACTCCAACCGACCCAAAGTACAGATACAGAAATGATATGGTTCTTCGTGACTACAGACAAATTTCACTAGGTTTTATGGAACAAATCGCTCACCACATCAAGGTGGACCGCAGCCCTGAAAGTTTCTCTGCATTTCCCAGAAAAGCAGATGTGAGAACCGAATGTTCAGCTTAGTCAGAGCAGACATTATACGGCCAGCTTCTGATATAAGAACAAAGAGGATGATGGGCATCAAGTGCCCTGCCACCTAGATGCTCTTTCTAGGAGACATTCTAGCATAAACCAAACAGTAGTGAGAATGCACCTGAAGGTTTTGTGTTACGTGTGGGGAAAGAGCAGCTTCAAAGAATGTCTAACCCTGATTTTCTCTACACTGGCTGAAGTTTGTGTGAAAAAAGCCTCTTTCCCAACAACCTACATGCAAATCCTGGCCCCTCCACATTGCATGACTAGGATGTCATCAAGGAGAAATGCAGTGACTAGCACTGAGTCTTACTCACAGCAGGCTAATCTACATAAAAGGCATAACATTTGAAAGTACTTGGTTTAACTTTCTGCTGAGAGTCTTTCAAATTATGTCCTTAATTAAATTACACTGACTATAACGTTTGCTTGGCAGAGCAATACTTATTTGACTTGACATTTTAATGTGGTTAAAAAAAAAAAACAATACTCCAGTTAATTTATAAGTGTTTCTAATTGTGTTAAAAAGATGATTAACCTTAAGGTCAGACTGCTGTGTTTCTTTTGTTCCAGCATTCACTTCTGCACAGGTTTAGTCAAGTTCCCCCAAAAATCCGCAACAGTTATTTCAGGGCACTTTTTAGGATTAGGTGAAAATCATAGAAGGTTATAGACGGAAGCCCCAGCAATCCGTCCACCTCACATGAGCAAGCACTTAGCAAGAGCAGGGAGAAAAAAATGAAACCTAACAGGAAGGTGGCCATCTGCCGAAACTAGCGGGGGTGAGAGAAAAAGATGCACAAATTTATTGCCCTTGCTAAATCTCATCAGCTTTTCAGCATATAAGACGACTTGTACAGATGTCATAAACAGATGTTTATCTGTTGCGTTGCATCAGTTCTGCTCTGGCTCAAATGTTTAATCGTAAGATGGTGTGATAAAGAGAAGACATTGAAGTCTTTGAAATCTATTTTAATTTATCATTATTTTTTCTGTCACAATAGAGGGAGAAATAAAGAAGAGCAAAAATAATAAGTACCGGTACTGGAATCAACTATGACTCATAACAGCAACGAGAGGCCCGAACATTTTCTCCACTGTAACCTTCAAACTGAAGACTTTAAAACACACAAACTTCTCATATTGTCAAAATTACTTAAAGAAAATCTCTCTGCCAAGATTTCAACACTGTAAGCACCTAGATTTACAGTGTGTGTGTGTGTGTGTGTGTGTGTGTTTGTATGCACTGCAGTTTATTACCATAGCCTCCCACCTTGCCAGCCGAGCTCACTTCAATGAGCTGCAGATACATCTTGGCCAAATATCACACAGCACTATGCACCACTACAGCAACTCAAAACTCAATTTCCAACACTTGATTAGAGCTAAATGAATTGTTACAGTGAAAGAGACAACATGCCAACAAAGTCCAATGACAGGATATTAATGATACTACGAGATTTAGACACAGTAAGCCAGTGTGTATGTGTGTGTGTCTGTGTCTTTGACCTTCAGATGAGAAGCCTGAGGAAGGAAAAATATACTGCAGCGGGAGATAGCGTCAGTGTTTGTAAATCGTCCTGAGAGCGAGTGTGAACACGTGAGCCTGTGTGTGTGTGTGTGTGTGAGGCAAAAGAGAGAAGTAAAACTGGGAAGTGTTATGGTATCTCAAAACACAAACCTGCCTAGCTTTCACCAGAGAACTTTCTGTCTGTCAAGTGATCAAGAGAACTACAACTACTTCGAGAAATAAACCTACTTATGGAACCTCACAACAACCTTCTGTTAGACAGATATAGCAAATGATTAAGACGACACTTTGATTAACTTGAACGAATACGGGGCATCTACCACTGAGAGACCATCTCTAGACAAAATACTTGACCCACATGCAGGAGTTGTGGTGCAGGTAGGATACATCTCAGGAATTAAACTTTCATTTACTCTTAAATTAAGCGATTTGATAAAGGGAAAGGTTTAAATAAGCAGTGTCACACTTCTACTGAAAAGAGTTGAAAAAATGACCAGTCATACTTTTGAGAGCAAACTTAACCCCTGACTCTGTGGGTACAGATTCCCCTGACTTTGACTTGAAGATGCCAAAACACCAGCTTGACTACTGCATTTTTCAGCATGTGGCTTTCAGAGGTCTTATAAGCGAAAACATTGCTGGAGCTCTGATTACTTCATCGTCTCCTCCATGCACCTAAGAAGTGGATGAAGCTGTACCAGAAACATTTGCTGGCACCGCACACTGCTGAACCAAATCACAGGTTTCACTCCTGCGTTATCACACCATATCACCAGCACCAAGATTTCCACAAACCTTTTTTGAACTCCTCCAGCATGGCGTCCAGCTTGGTGTCGTGGAAGACGAAGTGGACCGGATGGTTGTAGAATTTGGTGATGGTCTTCAAGGTGGTGCAGTCGTCTGGGTCCACGAAGGCCAGATCCTTGACGAAGAGGATGTCCACGATGTTGGAGCGCTCGTCTTCGTACACGGGTATCCTGGTGTAGCCGCTCTCCATGATCTCGGACATGGTGTTGAAGTCCAACACGGCGTCGCTGTGGATCATGAAGCAGTTGTTGATTGGCGTCATGACATCCTCCACTGTTTTAGTCCGGAGCTCAAGCGCTCCTTGGATCATGTTCAGCTCCTCTTTCACCAGGTCATTGTAGGGCTCGGTGACTTTTAACATCTCCACTAGCTTCTCTCTGTTGTACACGGTGCCGATCTCCTGGCCCAGCACGCAGTCGAGGAGTTTGCTAATGGGCCAGGACACAGGGAAAGTCAACAGCATGAACAGCTTGGTGAGGACGATGGTGTTCGCCCCGACTGCTAATCCGTGTCGGGAGCACAGAGCCTGGGGGACAATCTCGCCAAATATTACGATGCCGACAGTGGAGGCGACGACTGCTCCGACCCCGGACTTGGTGAGGTCGTCCAGGAGGATGGTGAGCGTAGTGTTGACCAGGACATTACCGAGCAGCAGTGAGCACAACAGGTAGTTGCCCTTCCTACGAATGGGCTCGATCTTCCGCGCGTACTTCTTCTCCTTCTCTGTGCCGCAGTTCTGCACGATGCGCAATTCCATCGGATCCAGCGCCATCAGTCCCAGGTTGAGCCCGCTGAACATACCGGACAGCACCAGCAGGAAGCAGATGAGGATAATCTGCAGCCAGATGGGCAGGAGGGACTTCTTCGCTTCCACCACGCGCAGCCTGCCGTCTTCTTCGTCCATCAGGTACCACTTCTGATCCCGGGCGTCCAGGACGCACAAGCCGAACACTTTCACCATCTCATTCTTACGGAGCTGCTTGATGCTGAGGGAGACTGTCCCTGAGGTGTTTTCGTCGTTTACCTTCATGGGTCCCCTAATATCAATATCATTCTGATCTTTGGGACAAGTCCTGTTTAACCATTTATCTGAGAAATCATCATCTTCTTTATTACTGACGAACAGTTTACCGAACCCGATGATATCCGAGCTGTTGGGGAACAAGTGGAGCCCGTAGACCCTTAAGGAGATGTCGCTCCCCTCGGTCACCTGAATATCTCCCCTTTCGGTGGTCTCGGCTGGCTTGTCGCTCTTCTCTAGCCTCATGCCGAGTATCCGCGTGGTTTCCCTCGAGTCTGAAACCGAAGCTTCAACCAGCCTCGTCGCAAAAACGTATGAAAACACGAATAAAGTTAACGTAAACCCCCAGCCACTTGAATCTATCGCCATGTTTGTTTCGCTCTCTGCCAACAGGCGAACTGACGTCACCTACTCGTTTCCACAAGCCCGCCTCCAAATTTACATATAAATATCACCCAATCGGAAGCGTTTACGTCACTAAAACTTGGGCCGAGCCCCAACAGTTTCATTTTTTTAAGGTCGACTGACGAAATTTCTTTTAAAGGTGGACCGTGTGGGAGCAGACGAAAATTAACGCATGAATGATAAACATTCACGATAAACAAATTTTACAGTTTTTCTCAGTCGCTTTGGTGCGTTTCTCAGATCAGAATTGAAATTCTCATAACTATTAGTTCAACCTCCACAACACTCAGTCATTTGTGCACATCATAGTAGCAATTTCTCCTCTCTCTGAACAAACTGCAAATGATTTTGGACATGAATCAGTTGCTTCCATACATTTCCCTGCTGCTT